AGAGTCCAGGGAAGGGGCAGGGACGGTTTTATGGCCTGCAGCGTGCAGGGGGTCAGACCAGATGATCATAATGGTCCCTTCTGACCTTAAAGTCTATGAATCTATGAAAAACCAGAGATCACACCATGAAATTAACAGGCAGCAGGTTTAATATAATAAAGAGGAAATATGTTTTCACACAACATACAATTAACCTGTGGAACTGTGCCATGACGGCCAAAGTATAACTGTGTTCAAAAAAGAACTGGCTAAGTTCATGGAGGACAGGTCCATCAGTGGCTATTAGCCAAAATGGTCAGAGATGCATCCCATGTTCTGTATGTCCCTAAACCTCTGACTACCAGAAATGAGGAGGGGAAGATGGGTGGATCATGACAACTGCCCTGTTCTGTACACTCCCCCTGAAGCTCTGGTACTGGCCACACGATAACGGGGTAGAAGGACCACTGGTTTGACCTAGTATGTCAGTTCTTATCCTCTTAACAAGAACAGAGCACTTCAGAAGGCCTAGGAACATCTCCCCATTTTGTTCATCTGAATTCTTAGCATTTTGCAGTGCACTAGAGATTTGCATGTGTTTTTCGGGGAGTCTCACTCTGGCCCCGAAGGCATTCCAAGCATTAGCTATCTATAAGGCAAAGTTTTTGTCATGGATATTTTTAGTAATAAGTCAGGGACAGGTCATGGGCAATAAACAAAAATTCACGGAAGCCCGTGACCTGTCCCTGACTTATTACTAAAAATATCCGTGACAAAATGGGGAGGTGGATTCAGCACCCACTGCTGTTGGGGCTCCTGAGTCCCCCACCGCTGCAGGGCTGGGCTGCTGTGGGGTCTCACCAGCCACCCACTGCAGCTGGGCAGCTGCAGGGCCCCCCCCCAGCAGGGTAGGGGCTATGAAGGAGGGCTGGCTGGGAGCTCCAGCCCCAGGGCAGAAGATGTCACAGAGGTCAATGGAAGTCACGGATTCCATGACATAATCACAACCTTAGCTTTCTAGATGCTGGCAGCTCTGGTTCAAGGGTGTATCCTTTCCCACCTGGAGAGAGAATCAAACACGTACCTAAGGCTCCACATTCTAACAGAAACAGTCCATCTCTACTTACCCAATTGATGATGACGTACTTGGGAAGGCCAGAGTTGGGATCCTTTACCCGACAGAAAGCGTACATCACCTTACCACTGTTGAGCTCCTCCACCAGCTCCTCCAGGCCACCATCTATACAGTTATTTCCACAGAGGGAGAAAGGGAGAGAGATAAGTAGAGTGAGATTGAGCCAACCATCTCAGTCTTGAGAAGAGGAAAAATTACTGTGAGCGTCCCTCAGAAAAACATCCAACTAAGAAACAAACTGTTGAGAAAATAAAACGGAACTGTCAGCAGCCTAACAGTGATGTGTCCATGAAAACGGGACCTGAGAGTTTGTCTGCTTCTGTTGCTTATTCCTACCTAACGTCATAATGATGTTATAAAAAATACTAAAGACATCTATCCAAGGCCCCAGGCACCCTAACATAACCACGCAACAAATACAATTAAACCTCAGCAAAGCTGAAACCAGTTCCACAGGAACTCAGGAGGGCAGCCAGCTTTCATCATCTAGGAAGACCCTGAGCTTTTTCTCCAGAGCCTTGCCAAGCAGGTGTCTCTTGCAAAGTCAGAGTTGGGCTTTTTCAGACCAAGGTGGGAGAGCAAGTTCCAGAGTCCTGGAGCCCTCACAGAGAACGCCTTGCCAGCCACCCCTCTCTTCTATAATGAGGGGGATCCAGTTTGAGCACCCCCGCTGACCACAGCTGTGGCAGTATGGCCAGGAGAGGCCAGTCCCAGGCCACTTAGGGCTTTAGCGGTCATCACCAACATCTTGAACTCCACCCTAAGACCAGTGGGCAGCCAGTGCTGACCCTACAGCACTACTGTCACTTGTTCCCAGCAGAATGCCCCACTCGATAACCAAGTCACTACACTCTGCACCAGCTTCGGTCTCTAAACGGCTCTAAGGTGTAGCCCCACGTAGAGTGCATGGCAATAGTCTCACCGAGATGACAAGGGCCTGAACAACATCCGAAAGAAAAGGACCAACCTCCTAGCCAAACACAGATGGTAAAAAGCTGACTGGGTTACTGCTGAAATCATCAAACAGCAACTTGGGGTCGAGAGTCACCCCTAAGCTGCAAACACCATTAATGAATGGCGGAAGTACTCCTCCAATCAAAGAGGCCGATATTACTTCCACCATCTCCTCCAGCTGCTTCCCACAACCCGCCATCTTCACCTCAGTCCTGTCCAGGCCCAGCTTCAGCCAGCTCACTCTTGTTCATGCCCCAATCTCCACTAGACACTATGGCAAGACTTCCTGTCTCTTGAAGAGAACAGATCACCGGCCGGTGTGAGTCCTCCATCAGTGCACGTGGACACACAGAACAAGCACAGCCCCCAATGAGAGTCCTATCTGTGGATGTGTACAGTCCCCACTCCTGAAACTCAGCCCTTAGTGCGATGGGGAGATGTCTCCTACTGCTTGGCCATAAGCAGTCAGAACAAACTCAGCTCCTGGTGAGAGGCCTCCACCTAAACCAACAAATCCTCACAGCTCTGCTACGGTTTGCAATTTTATGGATCATATGGAAGAAGTAGGACTCTTCAGAGCCCTGACATCCTTAAAAACATCCCTTCACATTTCACCTGGAAAGAGGCCAGATTCCTACAGGGTCTAAAATAAAAAACATGTCAAATGAAAACCACTCTTACCATAAATGGACATATATTCCAAGGCACTTCATTGTAATTAAATATTTCAATACAGTGACTGTTTTCAAAGCTGTAGCAGATGGCTCTAAACTCTACACACAAGTTTGTACATGAAGTTGTATTGAAACAGTAATGGGCACATCCTGATCCCATTAAAGTCAATGGGAGTTATCATTGATTTCAATGGGATCAAGATTCCTTAAAGTAATATGCATAAGCGAACATGGCAGGAACAGAGGCTCAGGAACGAACACCGGTCACCTCTTTGGATGTGGCTTATTGAAGGGGCTCCCGTTTAACCCGAAACTAGACCAGGTTGACAAAGTCTCCAGCTGCGTGTTCCTTCCTCCCATTTCATTTTAGCAGCAAGCTCAAAATAAGAGAACATGCAGACACACAAACAGGAAAGCCAGCTTCCCCCGAACTCCCTGCACAGGCGTCTGGTCAGCACAACCGGTTTCTTGTCAGCCAGCAGTACCCACAGCAGTGTGATTTATAGGTGTAACAGGACACGAGACACTCCACTATGTAGCAGATTTTCACCATTACTGTGGTTACTTTGTTGTGTAAGAAGAGTTTGCTAGGTACTTTTCCTATAAAAAACTGCCATGTCTGCACTCTGCCATACACAGAGCAGTGCTATGGATGTTACACATGGACCCACAGTTGCAGGAAAAAGATGGGATGAGCCTATGCTGGGATATCATTTGAGAGATGGTCTGGACTAACTGAACAGTGTCAGAATGCAGTTTATGCACAAAGAGGTGGAGTTAAGACTATGTGGGCAACATTAACTTTGTCCTTTTCTGGCTCTTGCGTGCAGCCTTCCTGCTTCATTAACAGTGCAAGTTAATATCTGGCACCTTAATATCCAGGCACCAGCCTCAAGAGAATTTTGAGCATCCGAACTACTGGCCTACACTGCAACAGAACACCCAACACGCTTACCGGAGGCCACCAGGAAGAAGCCCCTCAGCATCAAAGCTCCTAAGCTGCATCAAAGCAGGGCACCCTCCTATGCATGGGAACTGTCCCCTTGTTCCCTGTTCACCTTACAAGGACCACATGCAGGGCTGACTTAGCTGCACATGTGGGGTCAGGCTGGTCTTCTTCAACTTCCCATTTTATGAGGTTAGCAGGAATGTGGGCGAAATTCAACTGAGTTTGTGCAGCACAAGGTTTTCAAAGCTCATTTTCACAGGACTCGCAAAGGCCTTCCCTGCCAAATTTCAACTTCAGTTTCCCCGCTCCTAGCTGTTGCATGTGTACGGCTCCTCAAAAAAATTCTTGTCAAGAAGTTACATCATGGGGAAAGCGCATTCCCCCTCCCACCAACAGCTGATATTCAAACTTTAAAAGGAAAAAGAAAATTCACCCACAGGTAGTGGCCAAGCCTTGAATATCTCAGCCTGGATGTTGAAAGGGATGAGAGTGTAACAAGAGGGATTTAGAATAGAAAGTGCTACATTACCCACGATACCTCTCTACCTATAATTAAATGCTAAAAACTACCATGAGTATAACATTAACACTGGAGTAGTAATCAAGTGCTCACATGTCAGTAAAATTTCACCATCCAAAGTTTCTCCTGCAATGTTGGCTCAACCACATTTAATCACCACAAAATGTATGAGTTGCGCATTAATCATCAGGCATTGGTAGCAATTCCAGAATGAAGGTTGCATTTAGATTTGCACTTGAAGCAGGACTAAAATCCCTATTTCCCCCACAATTAAATAGTTCTACTCAGTCTCCAAATTTAGCCCAGTCATTTCAGATGACAAATAAATTTTCCATGTGATGTTTTCAGAAAAATACTCACTAGCTTTTGCAGAAAAAAGGTTTAGAAACTCTCCCTTTTGCAGCTGTCTTGACAATCTCACTTCTGGGGGGGTTTCCTCTTGACAACCTTAGTCCCCACAACCACCAAACTTTTCACACACTCTGATAACATCTCAGATCCAGAACACCGCTGAACTTTTAAAATCAAAAGTAAAGAGTTGTAACCACCTTATGTCATCAGGCAAGGAAAGCCAACAGAGCCACTCAGCTTTGTCAGCAACTTCCATTTTCAAAGCAACAGGGGTCAAGCTGCCTCTGTAGGAGAGCTCCATCTTGAGTCTGGATTTCAGCTTTCCTTCTCTCCCACCATATCTTAGCCCTGTTAGTAAGAAGGAGCTACAGAAAGCACCCTGTGAGCCTAACTAAATCAGTAAAGATGTGGGTGCAGCCTAGGCCCAAAATTCAGCTATAGGGTTGGGACAGAGACTTGAGGGGAGCCAAGCACAAAGGCTGGCAGTGGGGCTGTAGAGCACAGATGGAGAGCCGGGCTAAGAAGTGACCTTCCAGATTCTCCGTAGGAGGCCCTACTCCCTTAGCCCCATTCCAAACAGAACATTATGTCCTTTGCCTTACGAATATTTTCACTCACTGAAATGAAGATAATGATCCTTCTGTCTGGAAGGCAATTTAATGGGATGGGGAGACCCCTAAAATTAGGGCATCTGGAAATCAGGCTTGGAAAAGTGGGGTCTGGCAGCTCAGCCGCGCTGCCGAATTCCTTGGTGCCTTCCTTTACCTATGCCCTTCCCTAGCAGTTAAACCTCCATTCCCAGTCTGACAGATTTCTCTCACTCAGGAGCTCAGCTGTGGGTTGGAGAAGCTGAGTGAAGAGCTCTTAGCTCCTCTACTGGGGGACCTCCAGCTACAAGTATCCCTCTCTTTCTGCCCCCATTGCTATCACCGACAGGGCAGGGACAAGGAGAGGAAGAGTTGCAGAGTTACCAGCTGAGCAGTTTCTCCCCCAGACAAACCTGCTGTTCTCCAGAGGGGAGTCCTAGTTTGGCAGACTGGAGGCGGCTTGCTTGACTGGACTGCTACAGGTCTCCTAGGGTCTCAGGGGCGTGAACCCATCTAATGTGCCAATGTTTAAAATTTGATTGTGGTAGACAAGCAGGGTGGCATGGGAGGGAGCAGGGCTGCACGGGGTGTGCCCGTGTGAGAAAACACGGGCGAGGAGCGCAGTTCTGCAGAGGGCATAGGCGATATCAAGGCCCCAATCAGCAGAGGCCACGTTGCTAGTTACCTATGTGAATAACTACCCACAAGGATACACATGTTTATTACAAACCTGTCCAATCCCTGAAACAAAAATACTTATTAATTTGGAGTGAAGGTTCCTAGTTGCATGAACTTTAAAAAGCAGGGAAAATAAGCAGCTCTATCATTCGACACACTATCTACGCTCCACTCATTCTCAACTTCAAATGCCTCTCTTCGACCTATCATGGCCCTGATATCTCCGCTCCTCAGCGGCCACATATCGCCTTAACGCTAACCATAAACACACTACATCAAGGCAGATTTTAGTTCGGCAACTCTACATAAAAATACTACACCGGGAACCATCACAAACAGCCACACATCACCCCTTCACGGGTTTCCTGAACACGACCAAAAAACCATCCTTCAGCTACCATTTGCAGAGCAACACTGCCCTTCATTTTGCATCCAATTCAAAACCACACACAGAGCTACGTGCAAGACAATTTCTCAAGGTCACACCAACCTTGTGTTAGTCACATAAACGTATAACCAGCGAACATGGTTGGCATTCAAGGGTGCCTGTTAGTTGCTGCGTGTGGCGACACCGGGGATGTGAAAGGAAAATATGAGGCTGTGAAAGGAAACTGATGAATGGAACACAGACGAAATGATAAAAATACTTATTTCCTTGCTTTTAAGATGTGTGTTGGTGGGACCTACAGTTTAGCACCCTTAGCTGTAAATTAGTATGTTTTCATGTGGAAATCAGCAAGATATTAAGTGTTACATGTAACGGGGAAACCCGAATCAGAAAATACTCCATATGGACAGTAAGTCAGAATTATTGTCATAAGTCACCTTGACTTCAGAGTGTGTGGCTGTGCTACCTTTCTGTTGCATTAACCCTAGTTGTGTTAAAATGCAACAGGAATGAACTGAACTGTGAAGAGTTAAAAAGAGGTACAGGATTATTATTTTTTCAAGTTTACTTTAAAAAAAAAAAAACCAACACAAAAGGGGAAGGAAAAGAAAATGAGCCAAGGCTGTTTTGAGAGTGATTGAAACTTGCCTTCATGTTACACGTGACATCACAGTCCCCTACCAACTGCCACTCTTTCTGCTTTTATGCTGCACCCCTTCATTGGAAAAGCATCACCATCAGGTACTGTTACTGGGTCACTGAAAAAAGCTAAAGGTGCATTTCTACTTAGGGTGACCAGATGTTCCGATTTTATAGGGACAGTCCCGATTTTTGGGTCTTTTTCTTATATAGGCCCCTATTACCCCCCATCCCCTGTCCCAATTTTTCACATTTGCTGTCTGGTCACCCTATTTCTACCTTACGTCCCACAGTAATGTGTCCCAGGGTCTAATCCAGGACTCTTCACAATGTCTTCTGTGAGTCGGAGCAAGCAGCAAGGGGCAGAGACCACAGCCCCAGAAAGAAATGTCCTTCGTTAAGCAACTGGGGTGGAAGAGGAGGTAGAATCTCCACCTCCAGAGCTATTCCATACAAACACTGGACACCAACAGCCAGCAGTGGGTAACAAAGCTGAACAGACATCACAACCCTGTCAAGCTAAACCATACCACCTCCTATGCACACACTCAGCAACCAAGGACCCATCCTGACCCCAAATGGGCACGGCTGCCCCACATAGGGGGTGGCCTTTCCCAGATGCACTCACCTCCAGTGCCAGCCACTCGCAGATCATTACTGTTGCCTTCGTAGGTAAACAAAGCCCTGAAATAAAGCGTAAGGGTGACATTTTAGCAACTAATGCACCATTATTCCTCACCAGCCCAGCCTTCTGCTGCACCTCCTCACCCATCTCCCCAGAGCGGATGCTAGCACCTGCCTCACCACCATCCTGACTGTTTCCCTGCCTTCTTCATATGCATCCCAGGTGCCATACAGTCCCCACCCCATCCCCTCTTGTGTCATCCTGACAGCCATCCACTTCCCCACCACTCCTCTCCTACACCAACCCATTTCCTCGCGCACACACACAACCGTCTCCAACCACTAACCCACAGCTAGCGCTATGCCACCCCAACCAGCATGACCCCAGCGCCATCTAAGCTAATGTGACCCATACGTGCCTCCCCTGCCTTGAGGCCCCACAGCTAATGCCCTCCCAGCAAGCCCACCCCCCATCTGCATCTCCATCACCCTCATGCCCTACTGTGAAGAGGAAGTGAACCATTCTGAGCTGGGGGGAGGGTGCCTGGGGAGGTGCCAGTCCTCCTGGGGTGGGGGGATGGTACAAGAGGGCGAGCCCAGTCCCCGAGAGTGGCGGGCTCGGCGGGGGGCAGGGCAGGGCCGGGCCGGTCCCGGGGAGGGGAAGCCCAGGAGGGGGCGGCACAGAGCCAGTCCGGGTCGGCGGGCTGGATGGGTGGCAGAGCCAGTCCCCGGCAGTGGGGATGGATGGAGGACAGGAGGGGGACCCGGCGGGGCCGGTCCCCAGCAGTGGGGAGCCCGGGAAGGGGGCCCGGCGGGAGGAGGGGCCGGGTGGGGGTGGATGGGGGGCGGGGCCGGCCCCGGGGAGGGGGCCAGGGTGGAGGCCGTGCGGGAGGGGACTCGGCCCCGGCCCCTCACCAGTCGGTCGGGCTCCTCTCGGCCACCACCCGGCCATAGGCCTCCTGCAGCGCCGGCCCGTTCCTGCTCAGGTTCAGCGCCATGGAGCCGCCTCCGCCCGCCGCCTTCCGGCTCCTCCCGGCCGCGCCGCGATGGGGAGGGGCCGTGGGAGGGCGGGCAAAGCCGCGGGCCGCCCCCGAGCAATCAGACACCCACCAGACACACCCAGTGACATCCTCTACAC